GCGTGCATCAGTTACAACGAATATCGTTGATTTGCTGGGAAAGTTACACAATTAAAAAAGTAAATTTTTCAAATATAAAGTTATTAATCACTCAACCGTTTAGCAATGAACAAATTTTTACAAATTTAATATGCGAAACGAACATGAAGATAATGCTAATATTTATACTGAATTAATAGAAGATTATTCGATTTGTATTATGCTAGCGAATATTCTGTTTTGTTTCATTATTGTTTTCTTAGCAGTTGATGGAATTATTTTACTATTTGTCTCTTCTTTTATAAATCCATTTAAATCACTGGCAAAAAGCAAATCCAGTGTTTAATCGGATTTTTTTGGCAGCTTGAAATTTTCATAAAAGAGACATCATTGGGTAACACACAGTCGAAATACACGCATACGATTTATCTAAACGAAAATTCGATTTTTTTCAATGTTTTATATCCCCTCCCCCGACCCGAATCCATTATTATACAATTAAAATCCTTTTGCCCTGTTATTTCATTTACGTGTTATTTTAACGATAATAAATCGTTACCGTTAACGCAATACTAACATGCTTTTGTTAGGAACAAATATAGCTTTTTTCCGTCCAAAATATGCTATACGAAATACAATTTACTCAGATCAAAACTTTTGCAAACAGAATGGAATATTTCAAATCCCTTTTATTTATTTAAAAAAAAATAATAGATACGAGTAAAATACATAGGAAGGTTTTTAATTGTTTCACGTATAAAATAAAAAATGGCGAAATTTATCGTCGGGAAAAGAAATGACGCTAAATGTTTAATATAGTAAAATTATTCCCTATGACACGCAAAAAATATAAAAATGTATGATAAATTCATGTATTTTGATATTTAAGTATTTTTATTAACTTTTTGCTATTTTTAAATATAATAGAAATTCTAGATCGGAAAAATCAAATTTTAAAAATTAAAGACTTTCCAATTTCTCTCTTTTATTTGATCATGATACAATGTCACAAGTCCCACTCGCGCTCATCTAATCGGTTTTCCCGAGGACAGTGAAAAATGTGCGTGCTACAACAAACAGGCAGAAAACTGTTAAAACGATTTCCTACACGCCAGAAGAGAGAACCTCGACCTGGTTGCTCGTCGTTTAAAAATATCGTTAAGCTACTTTTCCCGGTTGCTATTAGACTTTTAGCGAGAGCAACTTGCAAAATAAATTATCACGAGGAAAACTTTCGCATTCGCGTTGCCGCCTTTGTCGCTTTTTGAAACAAGACAATCCGTTCGTCTGGAAAATTAGATTATGATTCTCGGTTGCGTCTTATTAACGTGTTTATCGAAGGAAACAGGCGAATACAGAGAGTGTATAGAAATCGCTGAAACACGGGAATTGTGTGAACTGTTGCAAAAGATTAGAATAATAGCAACGATATCTTTTATAATATTGTTTATCATCTCACAAATCTTGATTATTTATTTTCAATTTATCTGAAATTTGTTTATTACCACGCTCAATTACACCTTCAATGCCAGTATAACTACAAAAATTATCATTTAGTCGATTCAAACGATCCAAAAAAAGATCGTTGGAGTGTATAAAAAAATAATTAACAGAAAAGATTTATTCTGCGTAATGAACAATCTCGCGTTTCTAACCTTACTCCATTTGTATCGCCGAATAGTCTTTCTTTAAAAGACAAAAAGGAAGAAAAAAAGAAAGGATTTCGCGTGACTTTAGCAGAATCAAACTCCCCAATTCTGCTTCAAAAGTTCGAATTATCCGAATTCACTCAAGCCGGAACAAAGGACTCGGCGAAAATCCTGGAAGCGTTTAAAACGAACGATATTCCGGCAAATACCGCATTATATCGTAAATGAAACGCTCGATGGCACTCGAACAAAACGAACGAGCAGACCGAATATCACCGATCGAAATAACGCATCACCGCTCAAAAGCCGCCGATAATTCGTTTTGCGAATCATGTGACCCAATCTCGTCTGTACTTTTCATTTTCGAATATTTGAGCGAATATGGCTTGACAAGCACCGATTTTACCCAAACACTGGAAAACGATACAGAAATTTGTGTTGTCTGTAAGCTCGAAGAATCAACAAAAACTTTTTGGACTTTAAATTAATCCTAGATGGATAAAGATAAATTAAAGGGAAAACTAAATAAACGTTCCACTTTTCAAACAGCAACACCAAAGATGTTTGTATAAAGAGAGGGGAAGACAGGATACTAATACAAAGTATCGCGTAACAATCGATACAGGTGAATCCAACACGCGATAAACCGAACACAGAGCAGACTTATCTTGCACATAAATATAAAATGCAGATGCAAAGTTGTAGGGAGGCTGGTCGTTCGATTCGAACACCAGATGCGGGGGTCATAGACTCGCAGTTAACTGCTGAATCGCAATAGGAGGTTTTTACATTTGACCCGAATCGAGGATAGCTTACGAGACTGGCGAATGGTGGTATAGAATATTTCCATGGAACATTCAATGCAACCGTATTTCGAACAAATTACACTACCGTTCAATAGTATTGAGGCACTTGCTTGTTTTTGATAACACAGTAGAACTGCATTTATCCGACTTCCATTTGTTTCAATGAAATTTTAGTTAATACTAGGTTAAATGAACTTCCATCGATTGAATCGACTTATTTGAATCTGAGGTTTGATTAAATAAATGAAACAGTATAGGTTTTAAAATAATGCGGTCACAAGAAGTAATTAACAACGTTACGAGATAAAAATAATATTAATCGTATATTTTTCTCCTATTAATTTATCGTTGAAATTATAGTATAATTGGTTCGGTATAAGTAAATCGAAAAAGTCCTGTTCATTGGAAGAGACAGATTTTACTTTAAAATGAAATGTTGCTGATTGCGTGATAATGGATTTGAGATTGGTAAGTCCGACGTTTTATGAATAATAATTAGTAGTAGAAGTTGCGATAGTTCCTTAAAATGGAATACCGTTCCACGATAAGTTGAAATTTTTCGTATTTTATTCAAAATTATATATAGGAGAAATATGTACTGTCGAAAGCAATGTTACAGTTAAAGATTAAAATATCCACTTATAATTTAAAATTACAAAACATAAGCATTTTAACAACTTTTAAATGAAACAGATACAATACATATTGATAGAAAATAGTAATAATTAAATTTATTTATCACGATAAACGTAAAGATTTTTGTACGTCATTTTTATGAGATAATTTAAAATAATACCTTTAAGAAAAGTATATTTTTTAACGTGTTTTTAAATATACATTTATTTTACAACCACCATAAAGCCTGTTGAGCGTTGTTATTGTCTATAAAATTTAATGACAGTACTTCGATTTTATAGTAGCCTGATTAATAAAGTTTTTCAGGTGCTCAAATACCCAGTCACCACTAAAAATTTAACGTATGTCATTAGATTTGATGATAAGAAGACGGAATATGAAGGTAACTCAATTTCCTAACTTTTTCGACCTACTCCACTCTCATCCTTGAAAGCTCAACTAACTGTAAGAATTGCTGTGACATCTTTTTCTTTCTCATCATGCGAGGAATAAAAACTGCTTTCGTTGTAACAACGAAATTCCCTCGTATCTCGTTATACCTAACACGTCCCCAGATTAATTAAGCCAATTACGATCATGAAAATAAAAATTCGAGACGCTTATATGAGGATAACAATTAATCAAGTTTTCTTTAGTTAGAGTTATTTTCTTTAGTTTAGACTTTCTTTAGTTACATTTATAAAAATAATATTTTTTACAAACATTCACGATTTATTTACTGTATTTTTATTATTTATTATATTTTCTACGAATTTTTTATATTTTTTGATATTGACTTGTTCAGTCGTCCAACATATAAGAAATTCTATACGTTTAATTTGATCATGAAGCAATAGAGCGTCTCATGCTAAATAAAAACCCTCTATTGCGGGAAGGGGTACAGGAGACGAACAAGAATTTTATTCGGTTAGTTTTCCAGGCAAATATTTACAGCAGTTGATAAATATCGGTAGCATATATGCATTCAAGTCAAAATACGTGTATGTCCAGTTATTTTATCAATCACTGACAGCGAATAAAACACGAGGCGACGTTTTCCGTAAAGTACAAACTTCAATGGGAACGGATCTGTATCCAGGGAAAAAGCACTCGATAGAGTAATAACAGATGAAAAACTTTAAATGGCACGTATTAATTCAAATGAGAATATTTACAATAACACATATTTTTAGCCAATTTTTTAATAGATTGCAACTTACAAGTCGTTCGTGTTCGTGTAAATAATCCTGCTTCGTATGAACGGATATTTCTGTTCGTATCTTTGAACTGTACTTGATGATAGTGTGCAAGAGATGAAATGTTTTTTCTGTATTTCTTCAGTTAATAAAAGTTAATTAATAGAAACTATAAAAATAGAAGATAAGAACAGAAAATTTTTGAAGTTTAAATATGGAAAAAAGGAAGAGAAAAATATGCAAAGACGCATAGCTAAATTTATAAAGAGATAAATTTAGTTAATTTTACTCGAATTATATATTATTCGAAGAAAATAATACCCATTTAATTTGATATTGATAACGAATATGTTTCAATGTACGAATAGTATAACCTAATTCAAATAATATTGAGGAATTTTCATGAGAATTAATTGGCGATTTGTAATGCTCGAATTTCGCTTTCATACATTTGTATACATAAACCTAAGTCTATTGAAGTAATTATTGTAAATAATGAACATAGTGTTTTATCAGATTTCATCTAGCTGTGTATCTGATAATTATATCTTTTTCTGATACGGTTTCCTTATCGTTGAGTTAATTATATCCGTACCAAATTTTAATCTGATACAGATATTCATTCAGAAATCCAAGGAATATAATGTGATTTAAATATCGTTTGAGAAGATCAGGCGATTTAAATGTTTGCTTGTCACACCACGATTCGTCTGAATTTCTCTTTTTGACCATACTAACAAAAAATGATTACTCACCAAGTCGACTTGGAGGAAGCTTAAAACCGAAAGCTAAAGAACCACAATTGGTCACAGTGCGGTGTCAGTGATTAATCAGCAAGAATTCACGATTCCAAACCGATTACCGTCGTTCAGCGGCCCATTAACCCTTCCAATCTCATCACGATCGGCCAGAGAATGTTTTCCATTAGCACTTCGCCGATCGCACTCGACCAACATGAATCCGTCGACGAACAGGAGGGTACAGATCTCTTCTCCTCGATGAGTTTTCGTATCGACCAGTTCCGCCAAAATTTCCGCAGTAGCCACGATCCAGTTACGATATACCAAACATTCGTCCTTGTAACTTCATCTTACTCGAATAGAAAAAATGTCAACACAAAATATCCGCACAACTAATCGTGCGTTTCTTAGAATTTCGATCGGTCGAAATTTCTTAAAATTGGTGATCGTTTACCAACAACGACAGTTCCTCCAGTTATTTTACGTTACAAACAGGATGAACGATCTGTCCACGTGTTGATCATAAACAGAGGTGGGATTTGCGCTTTCTTCGGGTCACATAATTGGTATTACTCTAACGACGTATGGCTCAAACATTTATCATAGTAGCAAGACACGAAAGAATTACAAGCAGGTTGTACGATCGCACTGTATCCGCGACCAATCGTTCGCGCTAAACCTCACCGTCCGCTTCAAGCCTGAATCTCTCAAATCTGTACTCTGAGATCTTACAATTTTAGTTAGAGTTACTTGGATTTTACGAAAAACCTTCGGAATACTATCCTCCAAATTCGGTGATGTTCTACGATAGCTCTTTCACATTAATTCTAGTAAAAACCTTTATAGTACAATCTTTTTTTCGATTCAGTAATCGATAACGCCCTTATCCCTTGACTTTTATCTTAATCAAGGACAAAACGCGACGATCTCAAATCAAGATTATCTCTAAGATACAACCATTATCCTTGTAATCAATGTTAACTTTTCCACTGGAAAACTTTCATTAAAACGATAAGCACTTGTCGTTCTAATTATTCGTCACAAATTATGTTCCCACTAATTCTCAGTGTTCACTCGAAGACACTCGCGATCGAAACTCCACTAAGATCAATTCGATCGATGGAACTCCACCAAGATCGATAAGATTCACGAAACTTCGTCAAGTTGGACGAGATCGACGAATCTTTTCGCAATGAACGATCGATCTTCTGGATCGAAATCTTGTGCTGGGCGAAAAGATCGATCCTCAAGCGGTGCGATGGCACGTACGATACAAGTTATCGGTCATGCTGACGCAGAGAGGTGACTCTGGTCCGAGCGGATGAACGAAACTGGCGAGGGCCGGTCGCGCGCCTCTGCGAATTACCTCGAAGCAGAGCGGAGCGTTCGGTGGCGCGGCGCACGTCTCTCTGTGCGGCGCGAGCCGAACTGGCGCAAGCTCGCCGCCTCTCGCGAACCTCGGGGGCAAGTAACTCGTTCGCCAACCCTTTGCAAGCGCGCCAAGACGACACACACTGGTCCTGTAGCCACCGTTATGGAAAGGGAACGGATATATGCGGGCTCGACGTAAGGAACCAACTTTCCCTCTGGAGCTTTTTGTGGGGGGAAATGGCACGCTCGAGAATAGGGGGGATGCTCTACAGTTTCGTGATATGATATACCGATCGTCTCAAGTGCGCGTGATTTTTGATAGGATATGTTTTTTGAAACGTAAGTAAGATATAAATACGTACACTAGAAGTTATGGTTTCGTAGTTTTACGAGTCATGTGTATTGAACGTATTCTCATTTCGATGTGTGTTGTTTTTAAAGAAACACCAACTTTAAAAAATGTCATATAAGAATTGGAAACTCTAAATAACAATCACAAAAAATACCTTTCTATACGCTAAAATAAGAAAATTATAACATATAATTATTAACATATTATAGACAAATTTCAAACAATCTCAATGAGAAAGAAAAAGTTAAAATTTCCTTTTGAAGGGAAACAAGAAAATATATAGCGCAGGCCTTATTTACACAATATTGACAATTTTCTACGTCTTTATAAATATCGTAGGTAGAAAAACCGATGCACAAAAAGATTGATACTCAAATAAAAGAAACATACCCTCTTCGAATAACTATACTGGCCATAAACTCAATATAGAGAGTATACAAAACGTCCAAGTGAACCTCTGTTTCTACAATGAGCCCTGAGAAATTCAATCGCAGTTACTAGGAGGAGCTCGATCTTTGGTTTGAAACAAATGCATGCACGATTCTCGTACACAATATCTGGTGGGATCGAAGATATTGGCGTTTTCCTCGAAAATCAAATTACTCGAACGATGTAGGAACACGCGTACAAGATAACATAAAACATTGAAAAATAATGTTCGTGCAGGAAACACAGGAACGAATATGCAGCCACTTTATCAGACCGCCCCGTACGAAAAGAAGAAAAAGAAGGAAGAAGGCGAAATAAGGTCCCTTGCAAATGAACGTATCACGATGTATCCATGAGGCGACAGTGAATTATATTGGAATAAATTGAAAAAGAGCACAAACATTTAACTGCGTTGCTTTAAACTTTTGCCATCTAACCACGTGAAAAACTTCTGAATTACCTTTTGTACACACTTGCCAAGAATGTCCATGCGAATGAAATAGAACGACCCCTTTTATAGCATTATGAGAATTGTACCACGGTGTATGAAGGCTATATATAGTACTTTCCCAGAGACGTAATTTTCCACAAATAAAGAAGGTATTAACCTGATTAACGAGAAGTTAGTTCTCGAGAAAATGAAATGAGGAATATGATCAAAATAGTTTTTCCTATTGAAAAACACGAACACCGAAATACCAAATCTTGTTAATTTGCTCCCTGCTTGAAACCGAGCCAAGTTATGAAGCTGCTAGTTGGTGAAGCAATTAAGGAATTTGAGATATTTATTCAACCGAGAGTGAGAGAGAGAAAGAGAGAGAGAGAGAGAGTAAGCGAGCGAGTTTATTATTCGTTAGGTTATTCGCTGTTTTGAAGTTACTTGAGCTACATGTTCGGCTAACACGTTTAGATGAATATTATATTTTCCGCTTCAGAGTCGGGCAAAGTTATCGTTTGAATTTCAAGACACGGAAAATCAAACTGTACGCATTTCGACGTGTTACATCACTGTGCACGTCGGTCTACGTTTCCTACAGCCGATATTCGAACGAATCGATATAGCGGAACCAAACATTTCTGTAGCGAAGATACATTTAATATAATATAGTCGTTGAATTTTGATTAGGAAATTTAAAAACTTTGTGTCTGAAATAAATATATATATTTGAAATACAAGCGAGAAGAGATTAATAGTCTAATCAAAGAGACAATTTACTCCGTGTACAGAGGAAACTTCTAATTGATAGTTTCTAGACAATTGATTCCCCGGATAACTAACGTTCCACTTTCATCTCTTCTACCTCATCACCTTTGCACGATCGGTTATAAGCGTATCTCTAATCATTTTGAGTAACGTATTAATAAACATCGGATCTACTAGCAAGAGAATAATAGCTATCTATGATTTACATTTTAAACGCATCATTTACTAGATGAAGGATAGAGATAATAGGCAAGCTATTCAATCCTTTTTGAAAAATAGCAATCGCGTCAAATTTTTAAAAATTTATTTTCGATCGGAGAAACTCTTAAAAAGGGTGATTATTCATTTATCAAAATTTGAATTCACAGAAACCAGAACCATTAAATCAAAAAGATAATAAGATAACAATTGTATGGAATTCTTAATAATTTTTCTTTTTTCCGCATTTATTTCGTTTATACGAAAAATCGAAAAGCATCTTTCCTAATCCAGCATAGATTTCCGGGTCACTAACGGCAGTGCGTTGCTAATAAATCAAGATCAACCACGAACAACAGAATTTTCCGACGATTAATCGTTGCAACGTTAAAAATGAAATCCTTCTCAATTAAAAGCCCACCCTAAGGTAAATAAATCATCGACTTCCCGGCAGGTTGATTGCAAACCGGATTCTTCAAAAATTGAACAATGGAACGTCAATCATATTCTATATAGAACAAAGAGCGCATAAAGGAGATTCTAATGCGGAACCAGATCACATTCAAAGTTCGATCCTATGCAACAAGATATTATTCATGTACCATCCATCAAGATACTAAAATTTCCTTCGTTTCGCGCGTCATGGAAACCTCGTTCGTTATATATAGCAAAACTTTCGAAAATGACAGCTCCAGCAAAACGAACTCTGTTTGACACACATACGTCATCGTTATGAACTCGATATGCCCACTAGCAGCTGTGTACATGTTCGATATCCAAACGATCAGTGTCACCGAGCGCATCTTTTCATCTATGTGTTTCGTGAGAGGAGGATTGTTTCGATTGCTGCGTTTCAATGCTGTCATCGTTTGCTACTGATTTGGATCACGATCTATTTAAAGATCACACGATGAAGACATCACATGCTTTAACTTCTCGTATCTTCTACGTTTTAGTAAAAACCAGATTCAATTTGTTCTCCAATGTTGCTAATTGAAATGCGCAAAAAACCCACTTTATTACGGGGAGTATTAATGAAAACGTGTTCCAGTTATTTCTTTCATGCCGCGACACGATATTGCGAACGCTATTTATACGGGATTTGAGGGGCCCAATAAGCAGATCTTGGGACGCCCGGTCTTAAACAGAACGAAACGAAGCAGCAACCTAATTAGCACGAGAAAAAAAGGAGAAAAAAAGAGAAAAAAAGAGTAGAATTCCAGACGTTCATTACAGGGTAAACGCGCTTCACCCCCTGTTTGCCTGTCACGAGAAATAAACGATTAATAAAATAAATGACGAAATTTCAGTCGGTCTTCTTGTTTCCCTAATTGCCGAGCTTGACTCTTTCAGTTGACTAAAACAAAAAGCGAACTTTTCTTTAAGCTCCTTTCTTATGGCTTAAAAGAAGAGAATTGAAATTCGCGTTTTAATGGCAGCAAACATATTGACCGAGGTTTCTTCCGTTATTTCTGTCTTTCATTTCGATTTTCTTCTGCTGCTTAGTTCAACTTGGTTGCTTGCTTGGATATTATGAATATGAAATGAGAATTTTATTGTTTTCAATCTCACTGCCTTCTTTATTGCGATAACATTTGTTAAGCTTGTAACAAGTTTTACTTTATTATCCAATAAACATATTATTGTTATTATTCAAATGTTATTTTAGTTATTTTTAAATTATTTACGTGGTGAAATATATCTTGGCTATGTCTTATTCGATACAAAAATGAAGAAAAAGTGACAAATATATCATTTCCAATTTTACTCATTCTTTTTCTGATTTTTTATTCATCTCACCAATCAACTTGCTAGCGACGTATTCCATTCGATTAATCAGATACTGCAATCTCTCATTTCCATTTTTCCTGTCTATTTCTATTCACCAACATCTAACTTGCGCTCCCAAGCACGTTCCATATCAAAATCGACCAACGAAACAAACATCAAAAGCGTTTTAATCTCGCGGCAACCCAGTCGACAGATCTGCTCACACGATACGGAGACCGAGATATTTATGAAAAACTGTTCTCTCGTTTCTGAAGTCTCTAGTGATAAAGAAACTCGAGTCTATTAAAATTTTTTACGATATATCGTAATATAATCAAAGTTCAAATGAAACGTCTAAGACATTAGTAAGTTCACAGGAATCTTAAAGATACAATTTAATCCAGATATGCCAGTCATCGTTTCAAAAGTATGATTACTGGATAATTGTACTTCTTTCATTTCAGCGCTATCCACATTTTAAAGGTATTCTTTTATTCGAGCTACTAAAATAATACAATGGCTCACGAAAGTATATAAATACTTACAGAAATCTTTTATCAA